CGTTTTGAGTTATTTTTGAAAGAAAATTAATTAATTACCAGGCACAAAAAAAATACACTATAAATAATACATAATTGTTTTGTTAAATAATAACAACAACACATTGCATTGCAACTGTAGTACAGCTGCACAGAAAATATTAAAAAATAAAAACAAAAAGCCAACATCACGCGGTGTTCCCAGGCGGTCACCCATCCAAGTACTGACCGCGCCCGACGTTGCTTAACTTCGGTGATCGGACGAGAACCGGTGTTTTCAACGTGGTATGGACGTTGACAATAGGATTGCCCAAATCTTACACCAAATGATTACTATCACTATCTTAATATAGGACCTCCTCTTGTTAATCATAATAAAATTCATGATAACCTATTTTTACCCGGCTGCGCAATGCAAGAGCGCGAAGCGCGACGCGCAGACAGGGTTATGTGTTTAACAGTCTATATATGTATGTTTGTTCCTTTGTGGCACACTAGAGACCAAACGCCTGGATCGATTTTGATGATTTATACATCAATCGATTCGTCTCAATCATGGGAGTGCTACTAAAGATATGATAGTAATCAAAATTCAATATGGCTAAAATTAGGCGCCATATTGTGACGAAGTAAAAAAAATAAGTTGACAAAATATGTCGAGTGGGGTATCACTGTCTAGATAATCAAAAATCATATTTAGGTTCCTAACACCATTTTTCATTTAATATGATTGTTTAGGATCTACAACGCTTTAAAGTTGTATATTAACCACTTGCGCTTTTAATTTCTATCTTACATTTGTATGGATCTTTGTTACTCTTTCACCTAAAAAATACTGAATGGATTTTAATGAAACTTAACAGTAATATAGCTCATATATGATAATTACATATATATAATAATTTATGTAGTTATTGAGTGAATTAGCCAATATATAACAATAAGTGTCACATAAGACGGAAAAAAATCTCCCATCTGCGAGCCATTTTGGCCTGCACTGCGAAAACTATAAGTGTTACATGAATGTAATGTAGAGTGAAAATGTATCTCTTAAATAGTTCTAAAAAAAAGTCCGTGACACCATATATCTATTTTTAATGTGTAAGTCATTACCGCTAAAATAGTGAATCAAAACTAAAATATTATTTGATATCTATTTCCAAAATGCACATTTTGTATTAACAAATCATTTTTTATCAAAACAAATATTTTTATCGCTTTTGATATTTAAAGACGATAAACTTTGCTTTTTACACTATGTCATTTCGACAAATATTTAAAAAGTTACAACGATGACAAAGTGATAGCGCGGTGTACTATGTAAAAGAAAAAAATGGGGTATTCGCAGTATCTGATCCTATACGAAGCACTAACAATGAAACTGTGATACAGTTCCTTCTTATTAAATGATGAAAAATATATTATCATAACAGGTATTTATGATTATTAAATTTTAATGAAAAACTCAGAATTTTACTATTTTTCATTTTTTTAACGATATTACTTAATTTTGTAATAAAATATACAAAAAAGGTTTACTTAATATAATGACAAATAACCCATTTCTCGCTAGTAAGTACATAAGTATGTACTCCAATAAGTATTGGAATCCCTATATTATTAATCAGCTCGCGATAATATTGGTTTTGTAGTAATTCTACAAAAATCAAAGTAAATAATGTAGATTTTTATAGGTAAATCACCCCTTTCATCACCCTACGCCAATAAGTATTGCGATGTTGTAGCTAAGAACCAAGTTCCCATCTACTTCTATATCGGAATTCATTATATTCGATTTAGCTATTAGGGCACGGAAGCGCAACAAACAAACTCACTTTCACATCTATAATATTATATTATACTTACTAGTGATCCACCCGGGCATTGTACGAGCGAAATTTATTTATCGGGATGAAATATAGCCTATGTCACTCGGACAAAATGTATTTAAATAAAGAAAAATGTAATAATAAATAATGTAGCTACCTTATGATAAATTTATTTGATGGTTTATTTGATTATAATTGTAAAAGTTACTTAGCATTTGTGCTTAACAGTGATACATTATTCGGTATTTTTTTAAAGAAAAAAAAATATTGGAAAATAATTGCCATGATTGCCCTACTGGGAGTACTCTACATTCAAGCTTTACACTACCAATAAAAAAGGGTCGATCACAAATTCTTTGACCTGTTTTAAGTGAACGCTTTAAAAGAAAACTACAAAGAGAACTATAAATTAATAATAAATGAGATTGCTATGGTGCTCTACCTAACGTTATGAAAATTTTATTATGCGCCTTTAGTTTAATCAAATATTATAAACTTTGCTTTGGTGATTGCATAATTATTTAATTTAGTGATCTAAGGCAGTTGCCACCATTGTCCAAAACAACAAACGGTAATTACTGCTTTCTTCAACCTGTGACATAAACGTCATTGATTGGTATTATAGGGTGATTAAAAACATTTGAAGTTAACTTCTGGCATCTACATATTGGGTTTCTGTGAATTATGTGGGTATATCAAATTATGAGACAAGGGACTGACACTGCATTTGTGTATATCACAATCTTAGACGTCCGGCATTGACATGATAATGCAGCCACTGCCAATTTTAAATAGTCGACGAATAAAAGTAAATGAATTTTATATTTACTGCTAAACTATTAAAAAAAACATAAACAAAAGATGACTTTTTGAGTAAGTGCTAGTTTACTATAAAATTAACATACATTAGAGATATTAATGTATCGACTTGATTTAACTTCACACATTTTTGCGAAAATTGAGGCCCATCTGTAGCCTTGACCCCGCTGGTAAAGTCTCTATATGTCTTAATAAATCAATCTTTTAGACCGACGTACTTAATAATTCCCGCGATATTAATTCCCTTACTGAAGTAACAAGACTACGGTATATACCGTCTTAAAATACTAACTAACTAAAAAGTGTGAAATAAAAAAGGTAAATTTAAAAAATCAAAAAACCCGACTGCTTAATTATACTTCAAATAAAAACTGAAAAGAAGAAAACAAGTCCAGTAGTCTATAATTCTGTTAATAAGGAACAAAGCTACTTTAACAGTCGGGACCCATTAGATATTCAAGAATACATAATATTTTTCAACAGTGGGTCCCGACTGTTAAAGTAGCTTTGTTCCTTATTAACAGAATTATAGACTACTGGACTTGTTTTCTTCTTTTCAGTTTTTATTTGAAGTATAATTAAGCAGTCGGGTTTTTTGATTTTTTAAATTTACCTTTTTTTTTATTTTTTGAATGCCGCCATCTATCGAGAATATATAACATTTTTCTATTCGATTACTGCTTTCTATCGCAAGAGCAAGGCAGTGTTTTTTGTAATCAATCAACTCCGCAATCTCGCGGGGTACCGGGTTATTTTATGGTAGTTTATTCTGATTCCCTTAATACAAAAGCTTCAACTATCTAATTTTGAATGGTAATATTATGAATATGATGTTTTACAGCATTTATTATGAATATCCTCCGATATGTTTTATTACAGTTTATTTCTTGCTCTTTAATCGCTTCATAGCTTATGTCTATTCTTTGTAAAATATGAAAAAAAAAATGTTTTTTATTTCGTTTTAGTGCCGTCAACTATTTTTCCTATACGATTACGGCAGTACTTTTGTAGCAAGACTAGCATAATATAACCATGCGCGCTTTAAATTATCTAACCTTTGAAATAGTTTGCTTAAAATTTCTTGGATGAAACGTGCGATTGCAAGTACATTTATGAAACTTAGTGTCTAAGTAATAAAGATTATTTTTGTTTGCGAAATATAAATACAAATTGTTTAGTATTCACATAGCTAAGGTATAAAAAATTACAGACATAAGTAGGAACATGCAGTACTTGAATGTTCTGAAAGGTACTTGAAGTATTCCTCTCCTCTTCACGTTGGGCCATGCATGCCATGTTGATGATGATGACCAGTCGCTGTAGTACACTGTCGAGTCAACAGTTGACTTTACTAAGGAAATTTCCGAATGTATTTCTGAAATTATTGTAAACCAGAGTAATGTACAGCGAATGGTCAGCATTCGATCGAATTTTATCATAGCATAGCCCTAGGGCTATTCTATGATGAATTTTAAGAAGCCTTTAAAGAAGGAAAAATATCGATTAAATTCGATATATTGACGTATAATATCGATATATATCGATATTTATATTTATTAATAAACTAAGAATAAGATTGGATTAGTTACTCCCTGTTTTGTCTCTGGTCAGTGTTTTATTGAATGACAAATAGCATTTGAATCACAAAATACAGAAAGAAGTTAGAAGGGCCTTGTGGACGGGGCAGTCGCGCCACAGTTATGTTTGAGCAAAGCTCATAACTAGACCAAAACTTGGTTCTAATTGCTCTCGGGTGTGAGCGCTGATTGGTTCGATTGTTTGAAGTCGCGCTGTTTGATTAGCTATTATCTATTAAGTTAAAGTGTAGTATGGGCGAGCCGGCGACATTTTTTTTTTATAGATAGGTCCGACAAATGTCTCCACCCCACCTGATGTTAAGTGAAGGTGAAGTCCAGACGCGAAGATAGCTGATACAGCAGTTCTACCTGCCACACCAGCCATCCTCACCTTGCCGGCCTGCATGTTGCTTCTTCACGCCTCTTTTAAACATAGTGCGACAAAGAAATGAGTCACCAAATTTCTTTGTACGCGTTGGAATTGTGGCCACAGTTAGACGGTGACAGCGTAGGCCAGCGCGCGTGGTCCTCTGAAGGAAAGGAGAAGGTGGGATAAGAGAGAATAACTCCTCAGAACACTCGCCGTGGTACAGACGATAGAACGCGCTTAGTGACATAGGTTTACGTACAAAAATTCTATGATCATCCTTGAAACCGCTGTATTCTGTGATTTGAATGATATGAACAAAACAGGGCGTTACTAGTCTACAGCTTATTCCTCGTTTTATTAATCAGGGAGTCAATAAGTAATTTTATTCTCTCTTTGTTAAAGTGCTTTTGTAAATTGATGATTTCAGGTGCGGTTCTCAGGCTATCGTTGCGCATTGGGATGACGTCATGTGCATTTACGGCTTCACCGGCAAATCTGTCTCTTATCCATATGATGGTCCTTTCCACATAATACAGGTTACTATGAATCCCCCATTTACTACTTATTTAAATTAAGTTTCTGATGCTGGAACGAGGCGAAAGGAACACGCCGGCTGATTACATTTCAGTGTAGCAGCGGATATCGATTTTAAATATATCAGGAGGATGTGCTGCCAACATGTTGCTAATATTTTTGGGAAACTTCATCATCATCGGCCTGGTAAAGCCAACCCATTGCTGGGGCATAGGCCTTCCCTATGAATAGAAGAGGGAAAACGGGCCACGGCTGATTTGTGGTGGTGGCTAATGACTGCAGATGCAGTCAGCCAATGTTCTTTCCAAAGCACGGAGATACTCGGGATAGTTTTCTTGTCACCCATTCAATGCCGGCCATTGCGTAAGTTGCTTCGTTTTCCACGATCGCAGACCGAACGCGCTTGCCACTAAGGCCCGTATTATTAGATCGGTCTCAACTCAACTCTGAGGCTACGATCTTGAGATGCTGTTTTCATACAAAACGACATCTCTAGATCGTACTCAAGATCGCTCTCAGAGTTGAGAGCGACCTATAAATCGGGCCTCAATCATCGAGCTCCTCAGAGTAAAACATCTGAGACCAAATCAATACCAAATGCGAATTCATTTGTTTAGAGGAGTAGCATGAATTATTAAGTTGATCTGCCTTTGATTGCCTGCCATAATTTATTGCCCGGGAAGCGTAGAAATGGCAAGTTTTATTTTAATTTAATAATGTATTTTATCTTCCACATCCGTGGGGGAGTGGTATGTAGTCTATACACCGGGTTTCAAGGTTTCGCCTACTCAATGGTCCTGGGTTTGAATCCCGTCGGTGCATATGTTTTCATGGTTTTCATGGTAAATACTAACGTTTGAACCTATACGGGCGAGCACTTGTAATTTTGACAAGATTGTGCCCGCCGCCCGCACCTCTCTCTGTCCCCTCCCCCACATCCCAGAGGAATCAGTTAAGCGGTCTACCTATAATTCCTGAGATCATCTATTTGTCATTATATGTATACTAGTTGTCCCAACGAACTTCGTACTGTCATAAAAAAATAGGGGTTGGTGGTAGAAGGGTGAAAATCTAGGGTTGTATGTATTTTTGGACATGAGAAATAGATGTTGTCCGATTCTTGAACCTACTGAATATGCATATAAAATTTCACGAAAATCGGTCGAGCCGTTTCGGAATAGTTCAATTACGCATACCGTGACACGATAGCAACGGTACTCAAACTGCGGCCCACTAGCCTTTATCACGCGGGCCGCGACGCGACGCCACCACCGTCATCGCCAAACTTTAATGTTTTTTTTAAATGTTTTAATATAAAAACAAAGTTTGAAAAAAAGCAATTAATAAGATACGTGAAATTAGTCAAAATTCTTATTAAAAATTAATAAACTAAAATGTTTTTTTATAATTTTAATATAAAAACAAAGTTTGAAAAAAAAAACAACTAATAAGATACGTGAAATAAAGCAGTATTCTTAATTATATCGATATTATTGTTTTATCAGACTTCTCTTTATTATTATATCATGGAGGTGTTTGTTAGTCAATCTATTTCTGTAAATATTTTTATATAGGTACTTAATTTTTTAATAAACCTACATTATTTTGAAGGAAATATGGTTCAAATACCAACCATGCAGTTTTTGAAGTTTTTAAATGTGTCCGACAACAATTTCTAAAACGTAAGATAATCTTTTTTTTTCCTCAATAATATAATTGCTTGCATAATTGAATCATCAGCATATTTGAGTATAGCCCGAGTAAAAAAAAAGTATGAGTACTGCTGCTATATAGTAACCCATCCCATAATACAAACTTTAACTACAGTAAGCAATTTGATGTTAGTCTAATGTGTATCAATAAAACCTATCTATAAATTGATGCCGAACAGGAAATGGACTGCGTCAGAGTTATATCGGAGTACAGTCACGAGTTGGTGCAAAAGGTCCCCGTGGAAGTGGAGAAAATATTCAGGATCAACAGTACTGCACCTGGATCATATCTTGTTGAGGCTTCCAAACAATTTCAGGTAGATATATAAAATATAAAGGGTATAAAAATCAGTTAATTTTGTAATCAGAACTAACCATTGTGTGTGTGTGTGTATGAGTGTGTGCGTGCGTGAGTGCGTGTGTTTGTTGTGTGACATACGTATCGTAGTTTGTGATATATGGCTACACGGACAATTGTAACAAAATTCACTTTATTTTAATGACATATTATTATGTCAGTGATATATATGTGGACTTGGTGTAGTAAACAAAATACAATAATACTTTATTAAGAAACGCAGTCACCGCGCTATTGAGTACTTTCGCCTAGTGAGGCAAAACAAGACCTCCCTAACATGGTGCAGAATTGCATAGACGCCGCAGCCTACGAAGCCACACTTCTTCACTATGTAATCTTTGACAAAAATCTCGCACTCCTCCATGCTCAAAATGTACAGAATGTTAAATATAGCATATGTAATATTTCCAAACCACCTGTATCTTCTCGCCTTATAAAGAAACACAGTCACTGCGTGGATGAGTACATCCGCCTAGTGAAGCAAGACCTCCCAACGCGGTGCAGAACTGCATCGACGCCGCCGCCTTCGAAGCCACACTTCTTCTCTATATCATCTTTGACTGCAAAAATCTTGAACTTCTGCATGCTCAAATAAGAAACAAGAATGTTAAATATAGTATGTAATCCTTCCAAACCACCTGTATCTTTATATATATATATATTTTAAAGCATGTAACTGCTTGATGTTTACATTGTTACATGTTGACATTGTGGGTTACCTATAAATCTTATAATGCGAAGAGATGGCGCTGCCTTGCAGCTTAAGAATGGCTAGAAGGATTTCGACGCGGTCCGTGAGGGCCGTGGTAGCATAATTGGTCAGTCAGTGCATTCGCCCGGATTGCGAAGGGTGCGGGTTCGAGTCCCGTCTGCTGCCTGGTCCGCGTGGATTTTTTTCTAGTTATATTTTCTTTACACCTGTGTCTTCTCGCCTTATAAAGAAACGCAGTCACCGCGCGGACGAGTACATTCGCCTAGTGAAACAAGACCTCCCCAACGCGGTGCAAAACTGCATCGACGCCGCCGCCTTCGAGTTCAACACGGACATACAGAAGATGTTGATCCGCGCCGCGCAGTTCGGCAAGGGTTTCATAACGGACGCAGTGTTGACAGATCACTACGTGAAGACGTGCCGATGGTTGAGGGTGTTGAACGCTGTGCGAGACCCGAAGGTCGCGATACCGCTCACGTTCCGACAGTATCCTTTTATTTTATTGACAATTGAGATCTTGGTTGGTTAATGGTTTTTAAGAAAAAATTATTGACTTTGTGCTTTTACCAATTTATTGATGTGTAAAAACTTTCCTCTCGCTTTCGTGCAATTTGTGGGAGTGATTACGTGAAGTGTGTAACAGGAAGTTTGGAAAGCGCGCGCTATTTGATTTGATTTTAGAACAAAATGTTCAAATGGCTTATTCCTTTTGTAGTAGGTTTTATTTCTTTTTTTTAACTAATATAAGGTGAGGTTTCAAATGTTACACATCATACGCGACTACTGTAAGGCTCGCTGGTTTATTTATTTATTTTTGCTAAGTGGAATGACAATAAAACAAAACTGCCGCCAAATCCGACAGGTACAATAGGATAGAAATATTTTTATTGCTCTGGCAGTATTACATAGTTCATACCGCGCCGGATTTAGAGGAGTGCGGGGCCTGGGGCAACGGAGGAATGGAGGCCCCTAAATCTAGGCCGGACTACATGATTTGCGTATATATTGCATTACATATAGAATATTGCATTCTTTATTTCTCTTTCGTTCAAAATCCAACTCACCTATTAATGTTAAATATTTCGCTTATGTCAACGTTTGTACGTTGACTATAGTGAAACCTGGCTTAAAACTGATGCTATCGCTTTTGTTTGCTAAAAAGAAGACAGAGACAGCGTAAGATTTCAACGATGACTATCTTTAGTCCGTGTTTTGGATGGAATAAGGCATTTAAATGTCCAGAAATCTATGCGAAGTTTCGATTAGGTAATCTTTCCACGCTACATTCGATCAGAGTGGAGAACCTAGGCGAGGGAGTGTTACTAGATCGCTTGATATGGCGACGGCTGCACTGCCTGGCGGGACACATCGCTTCCTACCTGCAGCTCAAGGATGGCCGAACCAGAGTCCTGTCACACTGGGCTTGTTATAAGGTAATCAATTTCCTCGTAGAAATATCGTTAAGGTTCCCGTGGTCTCATCATCATCAGCCGACATCCCGACACCTAGATTTAAGAAGATACACGCTTGATATGGCAACTGCAGCACTGCCTTGCGGGACATATCGCTTCCTACCTGCAGCTCAAGGACCCCCCAAACCAGAGTACTGCCACACTGGGCTTGTTATAAGGTAATCAATGTCCTCGCAGAAATATGGTTAGCGTTCCCCGTGGTCTCATCATCATCAGCCGACATCCCCACACCTAGAATTAAGAAGATACACGCTTGATATGGCGACTGCTGCACTGCCTGGCGGGACATATCGCTTCCTACCTGCAGCTCAAGGACGGCCGAATCAGAGTACTATCACACTGGGCTTGTTATAAGGTAATCAATTTCCTCGCAGAAATATCCTTAAGGTTCTCGTGGTCTCATCATCTTCAGCCGACATCCCCACACCTAGATTTAAGAAGATACACGCTTGATATGGCGACTGCTGCACTGCCTGGCGGAACACATCGCTTCCTACCTGCAGCTCAAGGACGGCCGAACCAGAGTACTGTCACACTAGGCTTGTTATAAGGTAATCAATTTCCTCGCAGACATATCTTTAAGGTTCCCGTGGTCTCATCATCATCAGCCGATATCCCCACACCTAGATTTAAGAAGATACACGCTTGATATGGCGACTGCTGCACCGCCTGACGGGATACATCGCTTCCTACCTGCAGCTCAAGGACGGCCGAGCCAGAGTCCTGTCACACTGGGCTTGTTATTAGCTAATCAATTTCCTTGCAGAAATATCCGTAAGGTTCCCGTGGTCTTATCATCGTTAGCCGCTGCTTTAACTTGAATGAAAACCGAGCGGGTCATATTTTGAGAACACATTAGGTGGCGGAAAAGTATGGACCCCGGTTACCCATTCCAATTCTATCCTTTTTACAGTTTAATTTGGTAGAATAGGACAATTTGGAAATGGCGATTGACCACGGTGACGCGAAGAAATAAAAAAGCGTTGAAGGAGGACCAATTAGTGTCACCCTTTTGACGTGTTTTTGCACGCGTAGTATACACTTGCGGTATCTATTTCGATCAATACTCGTCGGTAAGGGAAAGGGCATCGTCAGCTTTTTGGTGGGTAGGGAACGGCCGCTAAATCAGTCCTTGGGTTGGCTCCCACAGAACCCCGTTGCACGTTGACATTGCATTGTAATCCATTTTAACTTCTTTATTTAAAACGAAGAAAGGAATCGCTATATTTATGTGTGTTGCTATTGCCACTATTAAGTTTTTATTATTTAATCATTTTACTGCTAGATGTTTAAATCTAAAGAAAAGTTTACTAGAAAAAATCCACGCGGACCAGGCAGCAGACGAGACACAAACATACCGCAGCCCTGACGGCCGTCTCGAATTTTTCTCTAGCCTTAGGCTGCAGGGCAGCGCCATCTCTTCGCATTGTAGGTAACCCACAATCCGCCGGTCCGTGGGTGTTTTTGTTTTTAGTAAACTTTTGTTTAGATTTAAACATCAATAAGTTAAATGCTTAAATAATAAACCATAACTATAATTGCTATTTCTTCTTTCAAATGTTTAATACTTGTAAAGGTAGGTATTCATTTGACATTGTGAGTTACCTACAATGCTTCGCATTGTAAGGTAACGGCCGTCAGGGCTGCGGTTGCATATTAAATAGTCAGTGCATTCGCCCGGATAGCGAAGGGTGCGGGTTCGTGTCCCGTCTACTGCCTGGTCCACGTGGATTTTTTTTTCTAGTAAACAAATAATAACTAAAAAAAAGTACAAATTCTCCATAAAACAATCGCTGTCTAATTTGTAATAACGCTCCTGAAAACACTTTTTTCTGTACGAAACTAGCTTTTGAAATTTTTTTTTTTACTTTTTCAGGTGACACAACTGCACTTGGACAACGAAAGTGCAGCTCGTGAGATAGGCGAGAAACTACGCAACGTCCCCGGCATCTCATACTCCGCTATCGCGATGAAAGCACACGAGAAAGGCAGAAAAGCGCTCGCTATAAAGGTAAGAATATAAAAATCTTTGTAGATATTAACGGGATTGTTACCATGTACCTTGTTTTTTATGAGTCTCCGATATTTCGGCACTGTTGCAAGCGCCATGATCACGGAGTAACTGAAGTAATTGCGGGTAGATGTTATTGGCAGACATATCGGTCTACCCTCTGACGTCGTCTTTTACTGCGTTCGATACTACCACTACCATTGGTCACATTCTCACTATTCACTCGCATTTGTTCCCGGCACACAATACTCAGTATCAGATCGCAGAACGACACTTTTTTGATTTTTGCGGTTTTTACACATACGAACCACTGGATTCCACACACTAGGCAATTTAAACCCTTCCTCACGATTGAAATTCTTGTGTTTGGTTATTTCAATCGCTTCCCTGACCAATCTTGGTATGTAGTGGCGTTCTGTCGAGATAATTTGTGGATTATGGAGCTCAATCCAGTGATTAGGACCCGAATCAATTAAATGTTCCGCGATGGCCGATTTTTGCGTATCATTATTTCTGACTGCTTTAATGTGTTCTTTCATTCGGCACGCTATTGTCCGCTTCGTTTGGCCAATATAAGAACTACCACAGCTGCAGTCGATCTTGTATACACCAGGTTTCTCCAAGGGGAAGTTATCTTTAGGAGACCGTAGAATCTGTGATACTTTTTGTAAAGGAGTGAAGACAGTATTCAGTGAGTACTTATTAAGTATGTTAGAGATCTTGTCTGTCACTCCTTTGACATATGGCAAAAACAGTGGTTGCCTGTCTACTTTGTGTTTCTGGTGTCTTAATTTGTGTTTGGGTGGAAACTTTCCCTTGTATCCGTTATTCTGTAAGACCCGCCGTACATGCTCCAACTCTTCGTGCAGGTGTTCCTTGTCACATAAGTCATATGCACGGTTCGTCAGTGAAGTGACTACAGAATTTAGATGTTTAGGGTGGTGATGCGAGGAGGCGTTGAGATAACGGTCTGTGTGTGAAGCTTTGCGGTGAATGGAGTGACTCAGCGAACCACTGTTTTTGCCATATGTCAAAGGAGTGACAGACAAGATCTCTAACATACTTAATAAGTACTCACTGAATACTGTCTTCACTCCTTTACAAAAAGTATCACAGATTCTACGGTCTCCTAAAGATAACTTCCCCTTGGAGAAACCTGGTGTATACAAGATAGACTGCAGCTGTGGTAGTTCTTATATTGGCCAAACGAAGCGGAAAATAGCGTGCCGAATGAAAGAACACATTAAAGCAGTCAGAAATAATGATACGCAAAAACCAGCCATCGCGGAACATTTAATTGATTCGGGTCCTAATCACTGGATTGAGCTCCATAATCCTCAAATTATCTCGACAGAACGCCACTACATACCAAGATTGGTCAGGGAAGCGATTGAAATAACCAAACACAAGAATTTCAATCGTGAGGATGGGTTTAAATTGTCTAGTGTGTGGAATCCAGTGGTTCGTATGTGTAAAAACCGCAAAAATCAAAAAAGTGTCGTTCCGCGATCTGATACTGTGAGTATTGTGTGCCGGGAACAAATGCGAGTGAATAGTGAGAATGTGACCAATGGTAGTGGTAGTATCGAACGCAGTAAAAGACGACGTCAGAGGGTAGACCGATATGTCTGCCAATAACATCTACCCGCAATTACTTCAGTTACTCCGTGATCATGGCGCTTGCAACAGTGCCGAAATATCGGAGACTCATAAAAAACAAGGTACATGGTAACAATCCCGTTAATATCTATAATGTTAGTGACCATGAAAGTTTAAAACAATATAAAAATCTTTGTCTTACGTAAAGCATGATTGCGTAGACTTTTTCCACTCCGGTCGTCCAAGGCGGGGGAGAATAAATACCAGGGGCGTAAATTAAATCTGGCGGCCTGGACCTTTAAAATTTTCAACCCATTAACGAATTCATTAATTATATTATTTTTCGACATTTACATAAGAGGCCCCCGGGGCTATTGTAATGTAGCTAGGGGGCAAATGTAGTTGTTTCAAATAACTCGTTACTGTTTCATTTTTAAAATAAGTTACGGCTCTGAAGAGAAACGTTTAATGCAAATATTTAATGAAATTTTTGTGTGATATAATTCGGTAGGTTTTGGCATTAACACGTAAACTGTTTTATTTATAGTCATATTTTATTCCGTCTTTTTTTCACATGCGAGTGCTAATAGACCGCAGTCGAAAATATAGCCAAAACCTTTTTTACGCAATATTGGAAGGTGTTTTACAGTATATCGCGAAATGATTAACTTTGACTTTTCAAGGCCAAATTCTCGTCAGGATTTCCCCATCCATTCCATCCCAATGTGTACCACTGTTCCATTGAACTGAATGTGACTATTTCCTTTATTTAAAGATCTTGGAGTATGAAACTCGCAGTAAGCTGCAAGTACCGTTACTACTGACGTTGGGTGAAGGCAGCGCGGCGCTTCTACGCGCGGCACACAGCGGCGACACCGACTTGTTGCATGAGGTGTTGTTGCATCTCAAGGAGAACATGGCCAAGCATGAGTTCGAGGTATGTCCCTCAAAAAAATATTTTGGCAATTGCGCCTTGTATAATTTAATTATTTATTGTATCTTCATCATCTCAGACGTACGACGCCCACTGGAGATCTTTGGCCTATGTTCATGGCCAAGGATCTCCATCCATTACTAGTCGTCGGTCCACTAAAGTGGTCTCTTCGGTTCTCTTCGCTACGTGTTCCGCCCATTGCCACTAAGGCAGTTCAATCCTTTGAGCGATGACGGTATTCTTTACTTTAGTTTTGCAGCGGATTTCCTCAATTCTCACTATCTCTATCACGCAGGAAAATAAGTACTATGTAGTAGCAAGTCTAGGGCGGTTGTTACTGGTGTTGAATGAAGGCAGCGCGGTGTTTCTATGCGCGGCTCACAGCAGCCATATCATGCTTAATTATTACATTAAGCGCAGTTTGAAAAAAGCTAAAATAGTACCTAAATTGAGTTGGATTTCTTCTTAATAGGCATAACAATTTATCATTGCATTGATTTAATTAAAATAAAACAAATGCTAAATCTTTAATATAAACTACTCTCCGTATCCCCCAGATGACGATCCGTAGTTTCCCGCTAGCGCACTCTCTTTACCTTAAATACTGCGCCAATCACAACCGGGAAGCGCTCCGCAAAATCTACGTACAAGAGGACGATTTCCCGGGACAAGCGGCCACGCATATACGCGACGCTATCGAGCAACCCAACCCGGGTAGCGCTGAGGCGTCGCTCATATCCGCCCGGGAATGCTACAAGAAGGGGAAGAACGATTTAGGTGAGTACCAAGCCTCTCTTTGAAGCCTTCCAGGATTTTTATATGGCAATTCTCCGGTTGACTTCTCTAGCAGAATACCTAATTTCCACGAATTCCCAAACTTGAAAGTTAGTAGTCTGGTAAGCAAAGCAATCAAGCAACTCATCATTTCTGACAGCATTGAAGCCTTTCTTATACCAAGGAATGCCATAAGTAATGGACGACTGATTTGGGTAAGTATTACTCTCTATTCTCTCGGACAAGCGGCCACGCATATACGCGACGCCATCGAGCAACCCAATCCGGGTAGCGCTGAGGCGTCGCTCATATCTGCCCGGGAGTGCTACAAGAAGGGGAAGAACGATTTAGGTTAGTATGAATACCTTTACAGATTTTCTATGGATTGTTTGAAAGCTGTAGCTAAATACCTGATTTTTCTAACAACCAACCCGGGCAGCGCCGAGCCCTCGCTCATATCCGCCCAGGAGTGCTACAAGAAGAGGAAGAACGATTAAGGTGAGTACCAACATCTTTGAAGCCTTCCAGGATTTTTGTATGGCTATTCTCCGGTTGACTTCTCTAGCAGAATACCTAATTTCCACGAAAACATTCCTGAGGCAACGCCGCGCCGAGGCGTCGCTTGGGAGTGCTACAAGAAAGGTAAGAACGATTTAGCTGACTACCCACCTCTGCAAATCTTAGTAGTTAAAGCGCTAGCAAAAACCTGATTCCAATGGAAAAGTTCCGGGCTACATCCCAAACTCAGAAGTAAGTAGACTTATAAGCGATTCATTTGAGTAAATTACCGATTCTGACAGCACTGAAGCCTCTCTAATACCAAGGAAGGGGCTGACTTGGGAAAGTATACCTCTTTCTTCTTTTCTCAATGGAAAAGTGGCTAAGCATATACGCGACGTTATCGAGCAACCCAACCAGCCCCTCTAGCATGACCACAGAAACGGGATATGATAAAGCGATATATCGACATTAACTGTCAGACTACTATGGAGTTCATATGACTCATATGAGTATCATATCCCGTTTCGGTGGTCATGCTAGAGGGGCTGGGCAGTGTAGAGGCCTCGCTCATTTATTCAGTCTAGGCTATTACAAGCATTTGTGAAGGTCAAGAAGCTACGCATTCGGTTCGCAAAACTACTGCGGGAGACTTTGTACTGAGAAGAACCGGCAAGAAACTCAGCACGAGCTGTTTTTTTTCTCCCTGTATTGTACATACAGAGTCGTCAAGTGAAAAATGACTTCAGAGATACTTGTTTTTACTGAAGTCACCTTCTATTACATCATTTAGCATATAGATAGGTATAAAGTTACAATAAATTTTATAGTTAACTTTATATTTAGTATATAGAAAGCGGCATTAGATAGGTACCATATTACTGTGGTACAAGAAGGGTCTTTTCCGGCATTTTTCAGGATCTTTTCCGACATCGTTGCAGTTTTCATTTCCATTCTTTACAATCAGGTACTAAATAGGCTCATTTCAAAGTACAATAATATATTTTTCATTATGAATTTGGCTAATACCTATATTATAAAGAATCCAGCTATCGTTCACATTTACAGTAGGTACGATCAAGATCTAGTGGCACTTTTATGATATTGACAGGAGGACGCTGCTAGTAAAGAAGTGGTGAAATGAGAATTACTAAGTACGTGAAATTTTTATTTTTTATTAATTATTTGCATACATTAAAACAATATCAATATCATTACAGCAAAAAAACCCTAAAAATTTATCTGTGCTAATAAATCTTCTCACTTAAGGGAACTTAATAATTAAAAATTACTCAAAAAGAGTTCTTTTTAAATAAAAAAAACCTTCCTCTATAAATAAAAAGGCTTTTTTATGCCTTCCTAAATTTTGTTCCGATTACGGCCACGCTTCACAAGATGTAATTTATTATAATCATTAAATCTACTTACGAAATCATCAATTAAGTGTAGAGACTTAATTAACGTATCGTCGTTGTTTAGATATAAAGGGGAACATTTATGTTAGTCTGACAATTTCGAATACATGTTTCGCCCAATTTCTTTCAAGCAAATTGCGTCGTAGAATTAATTTAGGGCATACGGGGTAAAGTAAACGTAATTTTATTTAGTCCGTCAGTTAGATTATCAAAAAGAAATGACACCTATTATTTTCTTTTCACAATCAACCAAAAAATCACAAAGCTGAAGCGCCTCAAAGTTTGAGAGTGGCCCGTGACATTACTACTAAGTAAAAATTGTACCAAGACGTGACGTGCGTCGTGAGACATTTCAAATCAATACTTCTCCGTAATGTTTTGATTATGAGAATAAAGATAAAAATACGTGTTCAATACTTTTAAATAATCTACCTGATACACGACAATGTGTTGTGAATTTGTGTCTGTACTTATTTAAATCAGGGATGTAACGGAGGTAAATTTATCGGAACCGAAGTCGGAGTTTTTAAATTTGATTTATCGGAGTCGGAGACAGAGTCGGGGCCAGTGGAGACAGTGGTCACAAGAGAGATATTTTTCATTTAAGAACAAATAAAAACATCATTCTGTCAACATTTTTTCATTTTTATTATAAAATAACCTTTTTACATTTAAATTTATTTATTATTAACGCAGACTCCCAACGCGACGGATATGAACCAGTTCGTAACGGTCGACGCAGGCCGCCGTCGCTATTTGCTATGCTTCGACCTCCGATTTAAAAGTTTCGGAGTCGAAATCGGAACCGAAGGTGTAATAATAATCGGAAGTTCCGCCTTATCGGAATCGGAGTCGAAGCTCCGTAACATCCCTGATTTAAATGCTCAACGACTGCCGTTATTTTTGCAGGTGCATCGATATGTGAGGACGCCCGCAAGCTTTGTAAACAACAATCCAGTCTTCAAGAGACTTACGGCGAGAGTTTCGTCGGTCTGTCCTTACACGACACCGTTCGCAAACTGCTGGTGAAAGGCGAACTCAAACTGGCTGAGAAACTACGCTCCGAGTACAAAGTGCCCGATAGAAGGTAGAATTTGTTTAAAAATAAACAAATGTTTCCAACACTCACACCAATTTCCCAAAGTAAGCATTGTAAGGCTTGTGTTATGGGATACTAGAGTAACGAATAGAATACATATACTGTACATATATAAGTATATTTATATAGAAATACATATTAAACATCCATGACTGGAGTGCTTTTTGACTCGTTTTTCGATGTTTCTCATCAAGTTTCTAAGACGATATAGAATTATAATTCTTACATCCAATTATCTGAATCCAAGTCTATTTCAAACTTTTGACACTCAAACGTACACCAATTCTTCATCACAATATCCACTACAAAACAATATTTACCTACATCTTTAACAAGAAAATAAATCTTCCAGGTTCTGGTGGCTTCGCATATTGACGTTGGCCGAGAAAAACGACTGGACCGAACTGGATAAATTCAGCAAATCGAAACGGTCCCCCATTGGTTACGAGCCATTCGTGGACGTGTGCTTATCCAAAAATAAACCTGACGAGGCTTTACGCTATCTGCCTCGATGCCAGGACAACGTCAAAGTCAAATACTACGTGAAAGCAGAGTAAGTAACTACTCTTACTGTTTTATGCTGTAACATAACATAATGTAGATTTTAATAAATATTTCCAAAACACACCAATTAACTTAGCCCCAAAGTATTCACTGTAAGGCTTGTGTTATAGGATACTAGGGTAACGGATAAAATACATACTCTGTACATATATAAGCATATTTATATAGAAATACTTATTAAACATCCATGACTGGAGTACAAATGTTCGTATTCATCACATAAACATCTGCCCCCACCGGGATTCGAACACGGGACCTCACGAGTCCTCGAGCCGGCGACACCATGAAACCCGGCGTACAAAACAACTCGGCCACAGAGGTCATCGAATAACAATTGAAAATCGACTGTCTGGTCGTCGAATATAAATGCAACTGTGAAGTATGATTTGTTATGAAATATTCACAAGACAACCCTCAGAGTTATGACTATAGTACCATGCCATTTATAAGTCGCATCGTGCTTTAGAGAGAGATACTCGGCTAGCTTCGGCTTTGTAGAGCGTCACTGGGACCAACGGCTTAACGGGCCTTCCGAAACGCGGAAGAGCTTAGTAAATTTTTGGTCACCAATCCAATGACCGACCACTGCGAAAGTTGCTTATCTTCAACGATCGCAGCCGAATGTGCTAACCACTTGCGCCATGGAACTCCTCAATAATAATAATGTTTGTCTTGACTGACTAGACAGCCAGTGAAGTCTTTTATCGGCATTTATATCGACACAATCCTAATTAATCCTAATATCATAAAAGCGAAAGTGGGTTTATTTATTCGTTTGTTACACTTTCACGCCTATACGACTGAATCGATTACTTTTAGTTTTGGTGTAGAGATAGATGGGAGCAAGGAGCCGGCTACTTTTTGTCGTGAAAATATAACTTGAAGTGGGTAAAATGGATAAAAAATCATATCATATTTTAATTCCTATCTTAACTATTAAACCACTCTAACCTTCCATACAAACCATAACAGTTACCCATACAAATTAATTAAATGTTTAAAATGACGATTATTTTATACAGATTTTATGAAGAAGCAGCTCAAGTGGCTTTTGAGCAAAAGGACAAGAACGCTTTGAATTATGTACTTAACAAGTGTCCATTGAACGAATCCACCAAACGTGAGAAAATATCGGCTCTACTCGAACAACTAGACATCAAAAAGTAAGAGCCATCATTGCGCCATATACAAAATCTAATTATATTATTATATAAAACGAGTGTTACAAACACGGAGGAAAAACAAAGAGGAGGTGTGGTGATTAAATTTCCTCAAGAAACGACGCGTGAAAATTTGCGGGATGCGGGGTGTTCAGCTCCGCCCACTTCTCAATATTTCATCTATCGGCTAATAGCAAAACTAGCTTAGGTTGATATTTATGTTACTACGTAGTAGTTCAGCTATCTAACACTAGATGTCAAAAGTTTTGTTTATAATGGGACGTACTCAGAACTTGAAGCTTCAAAAAAATTAAATATGTAGGTAAATAAATAAAATAAACGTTGACAAATTTGACCGATTTTAAAAATTTTAAGGTATTAATTTTATTATTTTAAAACATGTAACTGCTTGATGAAAAAAAATCCAGGCAGACCAGGCAGCAGACGGGACTCGAACCCGCACCCGCTCCCGTCTGCTGCCTGGTCCGCGTGGATATTTTTCTAGTTATATTTTCTTTAGATTTAAATTTTAAGGTAGTTTAAAAATAATAGACAAAATGTTATTACAAACATAATTTTATTAAAAAACATCAATTACCTGTAAATAATAGTTTTGGTTAGTTGTTGTCGGTTGGTTGCCCTATCGTTTTGTATTGTGGCAAAATGCTTAAAACGAATATCAATATATTTTTCTGCAATCGATTTCATCAGAAATACAACATGATTAACTGTAGGTGATTGGTCAAACATATGGTTGGCCGATTTTTTGAAACAATCTTGTCCAATAAGTGATTTTAATGTATTCGATACAATTTTATGTTTACGAAAGTTAGGAGTATTCAAAGATTGCGATTTAACACAACGAATACTGTCTTCGGTCCGTATACATATTTTTATGACATCTCTAGATGGGAAAGTAAGACCACCCTTATTTTTAGATTTTATCAAATCAAGGTCACTATCGTCGTAGTTATCAGCATATAATTCTTTGAGACAGCTCTCACATTTGATCTTGGAATGTAAATATTTGACCACATACCCAGAAATATATGCTACTATTTGACGGCGCAAATAGTCACCTATAGTTGTATTTAATTGTTCATCAAATTCCAATAACATATCGTCAGGCATAGGCTCGACATCCGTGCTATCCGAAGACTCGAAACTCATTTTATTTAAAATGCGATAACGTTCTGATATAATATTAATTTTTGCACAGAAGATTCATTTAAAATGGAAATATCTTCTTCTTCTATGGTGTCCAATCCGGTCTATTAAGTTTTGAAATCCATTGCTGTTTTAAATTATCGTTGGATGGAAATCTAAAACGAACATAAAAATAATTAAAATTTATTTACTTGGTAAAATAATTTAATACGTATTACGGCCCTGGGTATTTGTAACGTTTAAAAAGTTATTCTATATGACGACAGATGGCGGCAAGTTAGTTATATATTGATAAAATTACTGTTTTAGACAGTAAAAGTTATTTAGGAATAAGTGTATAACAGTTTTCAGTATTTACGTATGATTATTACAATATACTACTGCAAAATTATACGTAAACTTGTGTATTTTCTTTCTAAAAGTGTCGCCATCTGGTGTCAAGTAGTAGAATTTTAACGCTGATAGCTGAGGCTGAGAATGTTCTAGAACTTATATATTTAATTACGTATAAAATTACTTACAAATGAAATGTGATGCCATCCATATTATCAGAACGTCTGTCTGAGTAACTTTGACATAGTAAAACACAAAACTTCATCCTTTTCTTGTTAAAAACACAAAAAAACACTTATAATGCGAGTCTCGTTAAGTGTGCACCTGACGAACGCTGTAAGCATACTGACTTAGGCCCCGCCCACAATGATGACGTCAGGACCTAGTTGAAAATCACAGTGCACAGTTGCTTAGGCCAGCTCCTCTTTGTTTTTCCTCCGTGGTTACAAATGATCTCTTATGGACGACTGACATTTGCGATCTGGCTAGCAACCTGTGTTTATTATGCTGCAAAGGGCGTCACGCCCATTGAGGTATAAGAATAGAGTGGAGAAGGCAGCTCTAAAAGTAAGTGTCCGTCTAGTAGAAAGAGAAAGAAGATGAGAGACCGCTAGCTATCTCTCTCTCTTGTGACGCATGGCTCCCAATGGCATCACATCGAAATACTAAGATGCTTACGGTTGCCAATGCGCATGCGCGATTAGAGAGAAAAGCTAGCGGTCTCTCATCTTCTTTCTCTTTCTATTAGAGGGACACTTCCACTAGCAGTAGACTCTATATTTCCCCTACTCTATTCTTATACCTTTATGGTCACGCCCCTGCATATTCCCTACCTGTAATAACTGCTGCTCTATCATAAATACAACTCTGGCTACCATATTGTTTGCTAGCGCCCGTACTCAACAACATCAATTGACTTTTAAGTTTGGATAAAATTTGTGCTGTCAACTATAATGGATTACGTCCAAATCATTATTTAGACCTAAAATATAGCCATCCTTTTCCATTAACTAAAAAAACTTGAATAGGTTATCGGGACCGACCGAAAGAGGAGAAAAATTGCCTTTATTCCCAGTCACCCCCGCGGAGATTGCACAGAAGGCAAATGTGAATGAAGTCATTGGCCCCACTTAATATTTTTTATTCCCATTTGCCTCCGGTGGCAATTCACGTGACTGGGAATAAAGGGAAAAATTGGTTTCTTTATAAATGGACAAACTAACACTTTATTATGTGCTTTGTGATAAAAAGATTATATCGCAGACTTCATCTCGCAAAGTCAGTCGTCTTTAATTGGCCTAAAACTGACTGGCTGTAAATTGATGATTGATTTAAGTCAACGTTAAGTTACGATATATTTAGAGACTTCAGTTGTAATGCTAAAGGACATGGTATAATTTGGTATGAGACATTGCCCTAGCAATGTATAAATATTGTACTTAGTAATATTTAATGCTGAATGGCTGAAAATCTATAATTTCCATGAAAAACGGCTCAGGAACTTTTGATAAAGTCAGATCTTGAAAATTATGAAAATTCCTATTGCATCATTACCTTGTTACCATTGATAAAAGATGGTGCTAATTATTTACGGAGCCAACAATTTCCCATTTTTTCAGAATCTTTCCTCCTACTTGTCTGATTAACACTTCACAAAAAATATTTTTAAAGCAAAAATAAATACAAATTATTTTTTGTCATTGGCCTGACCGGAAATCTGTGAAGTTTTATTTCGTTCATTTGCAAAAATCAAAGGATTAATTATCATACAGCCTTGTCTACAGCCTGATCAGCTAAATAAAATCTATTATTTTAGGCCTTCAGTGATTTGTTATAATAAAAATTAGGGCCGAATATGTCACAGTTTTTAGGAGTTAGGAATTATTATTGTTTATCTCGATATACTTACACAAATATTTTTTGTGCACGTTTATTGTTAATTTATTTTTGTAAAACGGAACATTTTCCTTGTGAAATAGACAAAGTCAATTTTCATACTTTTATAATTTGATTGTTTCACGAAAGTTGTATGAGAATAATAAACACGTTTAAATTAATACAATAATATTATAATGTTTTGCGCTAGTGCGAAATAATTATACACGTTAAGGGCAGTTTCTTAGCCATGTTCTTTGTATATTTAATTGTTACTGTATTAAAAAAAACGTGATGTACCATTAAGCGTGTGTAAAAACCAAAAATTTAGCTTAAACAATTTATATGTATATTATTGAGAATAAATAAAACGCAGCAAGTGAATGGTTGTATTAATTTATTTGAAATACACAAATGGACTGTTTACAAAACGGAATCGGTATTTCGATCATAGAGGTATAAGAATAGAGTAGGGGAGATATAGACTACTACAAGTGGAAGTGGCCCTCTAATAGAAAGAGAAAGAAGATGAGAGATCGCTAGCTTTCTCTCTCTAAGCGCGCATGCGCATTGGCAACCGTAAGCATCTTACTATTTCGATGTGATGCTTGAACCAACTATTGGACAGGCGACTGCGCATGCGTCACAAGAGAGAGAGAGAGGTAGCGGTATCTCATCTTCTTTCTCTTTCTACTAGACGGACACTTTTTGACCCGCCTATCCCACTCTATTCTTATACCTCTATGATTTCGATCAGTTAGGGATACTGCACTGACAGGTAGGTACCTACACATCAATGAGCTGACAATTCGCGAGCAAATTAGAACAGTAATTAGGTACTGAATAAATTTTACTATTTGAAATTATTATTGCCATTACCGAGAATTTTACTGGCTTTGTAAGTAATAAAATATTCGCAAGTATCAATTTGCGAAGATTATCTTGGAGCATTACATACTAATGTAATAAATATAACTTAATTCCATTCCAAAAACTCACGAATTGTCTTTCAATGGACATTTTGAGACATGTATCCATAAAAACGAGACTTACAATCATTGTATGTTGAAGTTTTGATCAGACAGTTCTCTCTTACAATCCTTGTGCTATCGCATATATGAGTGGAAGCTACATAGCATGCCTCTGGACGTCTTTACAAAATAACAATAAAACTTCCTTACATCCGTTGCGTTTTACTGTAAATCTGAACCAAAAAAACGCAGCTTTTATTAACCAACAGTTTCATATTCATCAGCAAAAAGTAAGAGGTATTGAAATTGTTATAGGAACATATTTTAAATAGTTAATCCTTATCAAAAAGTGTTTAACATTCGACGTAAATGTTAGGCTGTTCTTCTTAAAAAAATACCTACTGATTAAAAGAAGACGGGCGAAATATACCCACCGGCCAATAACCACCAGAAGCATGTGAAAGGTCTTTTCACGACAATTATTCGTTATTACGGAGGCTCTCAATTCGCTGTGGGAAAATAGTTATGGCAAATGAAATCTAGAAAAAAACTCTTTTAATACCGTTTTTTTAGGCTACAACTTTTTTCTTGAGTGTATAGACACATGCCCCCATAATAACAAATGATAGTCATAAGAAGTGCTATCTAACGACATACAGACAGATCGTTATTGGTCACGGATACATGTCAAATACGTTTCTGTCCGTTTTCCTCTAAATT